AATACCAATTTAAATTTAAATAATTTTCTAAATAAAAACAAGATCAAAAAGCTACTTAATGTATGAAATCTAGTCCGACATGTTCTTAATTCAAAAGACCAAACAAAAGAAACTATGGTTCCCACTAAAGTCATGTGACCATATTAATTATAAATACACAAGCATGCACGACCAAGTCATGTGATCTTCAATTCTCTCTTTTTTTAAAAAAAAAAAAAAACAGTCATGTGACCTTTAAATAAAAAAATTAAAAAAAATCGAATTCAACATCCAATACTACATGACATACATATGTAATGCATACATTCTGACACATCATGTGTATGATCCATGCATCACCCTCGCCAATGCGTTTGGAGAGGCAGGCAAGTGGGTCACGCAAGGGACGATGTGTGGGCTGGGAAAGGGAGCATCAGTTTCCCGCCATATGCGGCGACGTGGAGCCCAGTGACCTCATTTTCCCGCCAAAACACCCATTTTATCAGTCTTACCCTGACAGGATCTCGACACGTATCATCCCAAGACAAGTGTAAGCCAGCTGTTGGGTCATTGACGGTGATGATAAAAGTTGAAGGGTCAACATAGAAATGGGTTGTGTTTGGTAGCAACTTTTCTGTGTTTTTGCTTTACTCTTTGTTTTAGCGTGGTATAAGCCTATAATTGGACAATTTGAGAGGTGTAAAAATGGAAGTTGATGATGTGTCACTGAGTCTTTCCACTGCTGTAATAAGCTGACAGCTGTCGATTTTTGAGGCAGGAAATTGGATGGACTTTGATTGGATGTCTCTCGTCTACTTTCCAAATATATCCTTCTTTCTTCATATTTTTGTTTTAATGCTTCAGTTTTCAGAACCAACCAGTGGAGGCTTCTTGCATCCACAAAATAAGACATCCACAAAATACGATTTCCGAACGTTGAAATGGGGTAAATCGTTGTTGGGTTTCCGCTTCTCTTTGCTTAGCGTTTACCGTATTTTGTTATATTTTTTTCTTTTTAAATTTATTTTATTATGTTTTAACTTCATTTTTTTTAACCAAGGGTGTCAAATTGTACTATTAGCTTTATAGAACTGCTATACATGTCAATTTTTTTTTCATTTTAATCTCATACTTTTATTTTGTTTTTATCAAATTTAAATATATTTAAATAATAAAACTGGAAAAAATGAAGATGTATCAAATTGTTCTCTTAAAAAATAAAAAAAGTGAAGATATAAAAATATTTTTTTATTCAAAATATCCTTTATAGGTCTAAATTTATCTATAGTAAAGAATTCAATTAAATTTTTGAACTTTTGGAAGGTATTTATAAATTTATAATACCTCAAAAGAGTTTATCATAATTTAATTATTTTAATTTTATAAATTTCTTAAATTAACTCAAAAGTAGAAATATGATTTTAGTTAAGATTTTTTTAGGATATAAATTTTGTTGCAAATTTTGGACTTTTTTCCATCTCAATAAAGGGTTCCAGTGAAAACCACTCAAAAATTTATATTCTTATGTTCAAGTTAAATTAAAAAAAATTTCGAACAAAATATTAGAAATTTTTAGATAAAAAATATTTTATTTTCACTTTCTTTTTATAGATTTTAGAGAGAATAGTTGGATAATTTTTTTTTGTCTTTTCCCTCTATTTTTGAAAAAAATTCAAATTCATTTATTTAAATTCAATAAAAAAAATAGAAAAATGAGATTAAAAAATAAAAAATTAACATGTGTCGGAATTTTATGTAGTGAATTGTACCATTTAATACCATTAGCTAGAAAGTTAACGAAAAGAAGAAATTAAGACATAAAACAAATGTATATAAATAAATTTAAACCTAAAATAAATAGACAAACACGATAAAAGAAAAGAAATAAAAAATAAAAAATAAAGAAACTCTCTGCAACCAAGAACCCTCTTGAACAACATTATTATTCTAAAAATTTCAAGATTGTTAAGAAAAAATTACTCCCCTCTCCTAAAGATTTTTTATATTTTTTATTTATGTTTATTGAAAAATATTTCTCTGTCCAAACTTTAAGTGGTGCATTTTCAAAATTCACTCATAATTAAAATTTACTTTTTAAGAGATTGTCGAAATGCAATTTTAAAAAAGAGAGAGGATATTTTAGAAAATTATGAAAAAAAATGTTGATATAGTCTAATAATTAATAATTTTTTTAATTTGTGCGTAAAAAATAAAAAAAGACAACTTTGTTTGGATGAAGGGAGTAAAAATATAGGTTTCATGATAGAATAAAACCAAAATTACAAAGATCAAAGTGTATTTTTCTCTGTTTGCGGTCATCCCACCCTCCCTCTTTTTAAAAAGTTAGTTTTATTGCTGCTTTACCAAATGTTATTATTGTTTAACTAAATATTAAATGTGTTTTGATAATGATTTTGTTCGTAAATTTAATATTGGTTGATTTGAAAGTTAATCTAATAATATTTTATTATTTATGAATATTAAAAAAGATATTAAATTTTAAGTACACATGTACAACATTTTAAAAGACTTTGAGAAAAATCTTTAAGTTAGTTAAGTTTGTAAATGTCATGGTTGCTCATCGCATTACCATAAATAATTTTAATACTTATCATTAGAAGAAAAAAATTAAATAAAAATTTTGACTTTGAGAAAAATCTTTAAGTTATCATTGTTAAGGCCGAATGAAAATGCAGTATATCTTTTTTACAATTAATAATATTTGTGTATAGAAAGTGCTTTTGTTCGACTTCAGTGCAAATATCATTTCAAGTGCACAATTGTTTAAATTTAAATATTCCTAAATAATAATCCGAGTAAAAAACAACGTTGAAATCTTATGTAAAGACCAAGCGTTTTTATCTTTTAATTATTCTAAAATTTCGAAGACCTCCTCTTTAGAATGATGCCGCGGATTTTATACTCGAAATAAATATCCAAAATGACAACATATTATTTGTTTTATTTCCACTTCAAGGTGTACAAATTCAAAATGATGTAATTTAAGAGAAATTTTTTATTACTTGAGAAATAACTAACAATACTTGCCCACAAAAAAAAAACATAAAATTAAAAAAAATTAAACTTAAATGAAATTATTTTTATTATTTTTAATGAAAATATAATTTATTTTATTTTTTTTATAATTATCTCTTCTTAAAGTAAATCTATAAAATAACTATTTTTAGTTATTACGTAATTATTTTAAAATTTCTTGTAGCCTAAACTTCTAAAAGGCAAATCCTTTTCTTTCATTCAACAGTTTCACCCTTGGTTTGGCAGGAATCAATATCTTCACCACACGTCTGCTCTGTTCTTATCACAGGACAACAGAAGCCATTGTAGTCTTTTGAAGTATCATGATTCGCAAAGCATTTCAACAACGATAATCTTCAACAAAAATTTTTTTTGCTGTACAAGCTTAACACATATTGAGATAAGATATTATTTCCTGTGGCTCAACTAAAGGGTTTTGAAGATATTTTCGTAACCATCGTAACATCGTAGGATCACACAAATCCTCAAAATATTATCCATCATAACATGGACTAATTTTACCACCGCAGAAAATTTGAGGGATTAATATGACCACGTCTCTCTTGTTATGGCTGGATGCAGAGGGAAGCCAAATTGGACACCTATAGTTTTTCCTTTTTTTTAAAAAAAAAAAAAAAAAAAAAAAAACTTGTGGATTAAAGAAAAAAAACCAAGAAGAATAGAAGAAAATCTGGTTCAAAAACTTGGATGCATTTGATTATCTCAGTCATTCAATGTACTCGTGATATTAGACATTTAAGTAAAATTTAGCAACCAGTTGCATAAAATTAATCTATTTACTACTAAAATTGCATTTAAAATATAAACATAATAAAGGAATACTGAAAATTAAAATGGGGACTTGGCTTTTTTTTTTTTTTTTGGTTATTATGGTGAGGTTCAAGGGATCAGGTCTTTTTTTTTTTTTCTCAAGTTAAAAATGATCACTACTCTGTCATTTACTAATAAATAAATAAATAAATAACCAATAAATAAATAAAGATCACTATAAGTAATGATATGCGATAAAATCAATGACAATAAAAAGAATGGGAAAAGAAGATGGAAAAATAATAGAAAAGTAAGTTATCCTATTTCTTCACCCCTATTTATACTATTTATAGATAAATAGATAAATGTTACACAAAATTATAAATTATAAATTTAATCCCATCTCCATTAAATACATTCATGAAGGATAATGGTAAATTAAATCATATTAAAAAAATATAAATAGTTATGAAAAATAAAAATAGTTATATACATTTATTATTTCATGGCATGATGAATTTTTTGTTCTATTGTCCAATTAGAAAAATAATGTTTCATTTAAATAACATAGATTTCTTAGTTCTCATAATTTCCTGTTTCTTGCTTAGAAAATAAAATTAAGATTTTTATCTTCTTTTTTTTTTTTCACGAACCAATTCTTGTGAGATCACGTTTTCTTAGAGCACATCATTGCTCATGACCTTTACGAGCAATGACTTCACAGGCATCACGTGCTGGATTCTGACCTGCTGTATTCAGTAGTACTTGTGCAATTTTGGCATCCGAATCATGGCCCAGGCCCAAACCTGGGCCAGATTTCTATCTTACCCCTCGGTGCAGACCCAAAAAACTTTTAACTGTGAATTTGTGCAAACGGGATAAATAGGAAGTCACAAGTCAAAACCAAAACCATATCTTATCCTTATAGCACAAGAATACAAATCCAGAATCCAAAAGCTGTAGCATTACTCATGTAACTTGAAATTGCGTTGCTTCATTTTAAGCTACAATATAATTGAAAATTCTCTAAGAAAGCAGCGAAACCTAAACTTACTTTCTTTCAATTGTTTTCATGGAAAAGGATGAACATAACTTAGATCATCTCTTCTCCAAAAGAACCCTGACAACAAACATCAAATGCATCAACAATCTAATTAGATGGAAAAGAACATCTCAATGTAATCCAAAACAGAAGTAATGAACCTTCTCAATGCTCAACCGCTGATCCCAATTTTCCAGGACATAGCAAAGTTTTTGCCAACAGGAATTTCTAAACCATTAACTTCTACCATCATACTCCTCTTCTTTTCACCACCAACTTCTTGGTCCGTAATATATTTCTGCTCCAATGTGCTCAACTCGATGTTTGAAGCACCAGTCGGTGGCTTCCCATCAACCAAAAGGGAAGATGGAACTCCCCTTCCACTCAATCCCAACACTGTCACCTTACCGATTTTCCAACCCTTGTCTAATGCAAACTTGCTCTCCTGGACCTCCGACCACAATTTTACAGTTCCTTGACTTACTGTTGCATAAAAATCGACATATGTTGCAGATCCACTTCCCAGTTTCATTTCTGGGAGCTCGTCGTCATCGACGAAAAGTTTCCCTGCAGCTTTTCCATCACTAGCGCCTGCAGGGAAGGTCACTATAAGGGTAAAAGGTGTCATTCTGGCTTCCTTAGAAATCAACCCACCCTGCTGCATAGGTAGGATTGTGTTTTGATATAAATGCACATTAACCACATGCAAGGGAGCATCAAGAGTAACGTACTGCCCCCTCCTGATGTGATGGTCTGTGTCATATCAAACATGCTGTACCAACTACCAGGAGGAAAGAGTGCTTTAACCTGTGATTTTCCTTGCTCAAGCACTGGAGATATCATGAGGCTACTTCCAAGCAAGAACTGAGTGCTCAACCCATAACATTCAGTGTAATCTGGAAATGCGAAGAAAAGTGGTCTGGCAATTGGGGCTCCAGTGGTATGAGCCTCATAGTTCAGTGTGTACAGATATGGAAGAATCTTGTACCTCATACCAAGTGCATTTCTAGCGGACATGGCTACTGAATCCCATTGATAAAGCTCCTGCCTTGGGGAATAGTAGTTCGCATGATCCCTTGAGAAGGGATAGAAAGCGCCCACCTCTATCCACCTGTTGCAAAGCTCTTCTGTGGGTGCAGGATAAAATCCACATATATCTGAACCAACCATTGGTACCCCAAAAATACCAAAATTTATCATAGTAGAAATAGAATATTTCAAATCCTCCCAAGTGCCTTTATTATCACCGGTCCAGTGAGCAGCATATTTGCCTGATCCAACATAAGTGGAGCGTGATAATATAAATGGCCTCTTGCCTTCAAGTCCTTGAAGGGCCTTGTGGGTAGCAATGGATTGAGAGAATCCATAGATGCTATGAGCATCATACTCCAAAACACCATTGTAGTGAACTGCACTGGTTGCTATGGTCTTGAACCCTACCGGAGCCTGCAATCCTGAAGCATTTATCTTGTAAGGCGGATCATCCCATCTTGTTTTTGTTATGTTTTTGCAATCCAAGCAGCACTCCCAACCAGGTCCAGTTACACTTGGACACCGCTTGCCCTTTGGGATTTTGCATAGTCCAGAACAAAAATTTGAAGCTTCATTCATGTCAATCCAAAGACCATCAACAGGGACGAGTTCATGGAATCGACGAATTTCATCAACCCACCAATCGACAGTTTTTGGACTGAGAAAGTCAGGAAAGTTGACAGCTCCTGGCCAAACTTGAGCTAGGTAGGGCTCACCCTCATACTTGATAAACACATCGTTGGCAATGCCTCTTTGGTATACACCATAACTGGAATTAACACCAATTCCGGGATCAATAATGACAATATACTTCATGCCAATGCTGTGTATTTTTTCTAGGAATGCCAGAAGCTTTGGACGAGGATAGCTCACGGGGTTGAGGGTAAAGTCCTTGTGGCCATCCATGTGATCATCATCATTCCAGATGACGTCAAGTGGGATCTGAGCCTTTTTGTAGTTCTCGACAACATCTTCAACCACAGACAGGTTATGATAACCCCATCTGCATTGGTGGAACCCTGTTAACATCAGAATCAAATGATTAGCAGAATGCTTTTTCCCAGTGATTAGAATGTGATTCTCTGGATATGTGAAGGCAGTCATATTCAACAACCACCAAAAAAAAAAAAAATGAATGAATTTGAAGTTTTCAATAGCTAAAAATGCCATGATAAAGAAATCAGGAGGCACTTGGATCTATGCTTGAATGGATGACGTATTTACGTTCTGCCTTGCAATCAGTAGAAACAAAGAAGTAGCTTCAAGATATAGTTACCTATCTGAGTCGCAACATGATTATTGTTCATGAAATAAAGATAACCTGACGACTAAAATCTTTTCAATCTTGCCATTTTCCATTAAAGTTCTGGTAATTCAAGAAATTTTCTATCTGGTCATCAATCACAATATACAAACATAAGATGGTTACATCATGAAGCAAATTTCCAGCTGATAAATTGGCTCACGCACATTTAAGCTAACAAACAAGATTTGGCTCCCAATACTGCAGCCATCTCCAACAAACTACAGTAAACACATGTTCCGATACTAATTAATTTACCCGACAGGTATATTAATGATTCTTTTCAACAAATCTCCATTCTCTTAATCAATTACCATTGTAAGCTAAAAAGTGGCCTAAGTTAAGCAGAACAAGATTTCCACCTATAATTCTTTTATTTTTTTTATTACGTCACAATTTCTTCTATAACCTGACATAGCTAAATAGTGATCGCATCTGTCTTAGGTTTCGATTGTTCAGCTACCGACATGACAATTCTTCATAATGTCAAGGGAAAAACAAGAGAACAATATACACTCCCCACCACCTTAGGACAGTCTCTATCTCACCCTTCTATGACAAGGCAACGATGGTCGATGGATACAAACTACGGGTCCATAATATGAATGCTGACGGGAATGCTGGTCAGGTATTATCTTCATGTGGGACACATGCGAATAATTATCGCAGCAATGCGATAAAGATTGGAGATTAAATGAAAATTTTCCACTTCATGTGGGGAAGATAAGTTTTTGGAGGACCGCAAAATGTGCAAGGATTGAATAATAGTGCCTTTTGGGGTCCAATGGTGTCGTGGAAGAAAACATAAGCAAAATAGGTCAAGATATTTGGCCTGTAAAGTTAAGATAGAAAGTAGAAAATTTCCAACTGTGAGATACTGACTGAATCAAGACCACTCTGTCTTTATCTGTGATGTGGACCAAGAATGAAAAGATCATTTTGATTACTGAAAAAAAAATCTTTTAGACTTAAAAGTTGTATCCGGAGAATTATAAAATAAATTTGCCTGGTGAAAGCATTTAGAATCGCAATAAAGTAAATCAGACTCTGGACCCAACCCCACCAACCTAATTAAAAAAAAAGGAACAATAACACGAGTATCCACATCTAACGCAGCACGTAGACCAATCACACCGTCAATCAACCTTTGCCCAAATGCCACGTAAAGCAACTGGCCCCGTTTGCCTAGACATCTCAATCATCCTCCTTCGATGATTCGACCAAAGAGCCCAAGAGCATGATTACACACAACATGGCCACCGTAAGATCTTCAATCTATGATATGCATTATATTAATTAGTGGCATCATGACTAACACCAAGAGCTAGAAAAGAAGAAACTTACGCCCCTTAATTAACACTTATTGCAATGGGGTTGCTACTTGCTATAATACTGGAATCCTTAAAGATCCACATGGTCTATTTGACACGGACATTATGTACATTATTGGTATCCTACCCACAGTGAATATTTGGTGTTATCACATTTACTGGATAGGTCAATTCCATTATAATGTCAAAAAATCTCATTCACGAGACAGAACAAATCGAATCTAACAAAATCATTAGACATCAAACACAAAGTGACATACCACCAATACACTAATGTCGACCTGCCACACATGCTACTATTAATAGCAACACGAGGCTGTCAACATTAAAGGCCATATTTAGCCTTTTAAATAAGAACCTATACCTTATCATAACAATAAAACAAAAAATAAATAAGCAGATGATGAGATAATGCAATGAAACAAAGAGGAAATTAGTGAAGAATAGGATCATACCGAAAGCCCAGTAAGGCATCGGAGCTGGTCTGCCAATCAAAGATGTATACTGATCAACGACAGCAAGAGGAGTGGGTCCGGAAAAGAAGTAGAAGTCAAAAACACCTCCAATAATCTTGTATGTCAAAGAAGCCCCTCTGTAGAAGACATCCATGCCATTACTATTCAACAACAGAACAGCATGAGCATAAGCTTGCCCCTTCACATTCCTAAGATCCATGTACACCGGATGAGACCCATACAAATCAACATTAAGATTAATGGCTGAGATATCAGTTGTATACAAAGTGTATGGATCTCCAGGGTACAGCTTAATACCATGTGGCTGTGTGTTCTCTCCGAAACCATACAATGAAGCATCTTTTGGCAGCTGTGTGGATATCTCCAAGTACTGATCTTTAAACACCATTTCACCAAATGAGTCTGACCCATCAGAGCTTGAATTGAAAAGGGTCTGCCCATTTGATTTTCTCTTCACTGCAAAACTGAAAGGGTCCACTGTGTAGCAAAAAATTAGCTCAGAGCCTGAGTATTCTTGAACAGTTATTGGGTTCTTTCTTGATCTCCCTATTGTTTGCTTCAATGCTGGCGCTTGCTCTCTTGGTAAGAGATTGTATGGCACTTCCCATCTCTGCTTCTCTGCATCAGTGATATGGACCCTCAAACGATCTTGCGTTTCATGCCTGCACAAGTTTAATAATGTCAATCTTTAGAGTAAGGTGCACTGAGAGCCATGGACGTGACAAACATACAAGTGATAGTAAAGGAGCTTACTTGACATATAGCTGCAAGAGGGGGATGTCAGGACCGTAGATATTGTTCTTTTGCTTGACTTGGAGGTGGCCAACAATGCCTCCATCAGGGGTCTCTTGGATAGAAATGAGACGGTAGCCTTGGCCAATTTTGGTGGGTGTAGAAGATGAGTTCACTTGATAGAAACATAGGAGCAAAACAAGAAGAAAATTAAAGAACAACAGAGAAAGGAAGGTGGTAGAAGAAAACATGGTTGAAACTAAACTAACTAGTAGTGGTGTGAGTAGCGAGAAGGAGGCTCTTTTTAAGGACCAATTTAAGGAGCTGTTTAGCTTTTAGAGTCCATGGAAAGAATGCGAAGAGTGATCAGCAATTACATGTGAGGCAGGACCATGGACTGTGATTGAGGCATGAGGCATGAGGCCCATCACTGCCATGTGATGATGATGGTCAGTGGGCCATCGACCGTAAAATTGAAAGTCTAGCATTTTTTTTCTCCATAAAATTTGGTCCCATTTGCCTTTTGCCTGTCTTTCTTTAACGGTCCTGTTTGGTTTTAGCTGTGATAATTAAGCTTCCTCTATTAGAATAGCATTCCAGCTATGGAAAAATATCTCAGTCCGTTGAAAAGACTTAAATACTTTCGTCGTCCAAGTTTCCTTAATTAACCCATTTTCTACTATGTGTTATTTAACTTTTACTAGAAGAAAATTGCAATGTGGCTACAATAGTTTTTAGTTTATCTCAATTAAGTACATGAATTTTATTTTTTTTATTTTGATATATGGACATTTTTAATTGTGCTAATTAAGTATTTATGTGAAAAAATCATTAATTTTTTCTATTTAATTTTCAATCATTCACTATCTATTTCTTTGGTTAAAGTAATGAATATTTTAATTGTACTAATAATTAATTTATTACTTTAATTAATGACAAAATTGTTTTTATCTTTGGTGTATAATGTAGATAGTTTGCTATTAATTGAAAGAGTTTTCTTTTTTAAAAAGAATTTATTTTAATTTTAAATATTTTATTTATTAAATGTAATATTATTTTGGAGGGTGCTCTTATTAAATAAAAACGACATTAGAAAATGAAAATTTGAGAAAGTATTGGTACAATAAAAAAAATTGGTGCATAAAATAATAAAGATGAAAGTTCATAAATTTAATTGAGATAAAGTAAAAATTAATATACCACTAAGGATTAAGGTTAAAGGACACGTTATTTGATAACAGACCAATTAATATAAAACAAATAGAAATACTAGATTGAAATTTCTTTAAAAAAATTGATATATACCTAAATAAAAAATTAAAATTCATATACTTATTGAAAAAAAAAATTGTAAAGATGGTGTATTGATAATGTGAGTATTCCTTTTTTCACGTATCCTCTTGTTAGATGCGCATCGTTATTCATGTTCATGGATGTAACTTGTAAGGTTTGATGGTCTTTGAAAATGCTGATACTATGCCTGTCGATATAGCTGGTCGAGAGGATTGGAAGTTAATTCCCGCAGGAAATGACGACAAAGTCTACAAGTCTAGACCGTGAATGCCGCAGATAAAATCCCAAACTTGACTCGCTTAATCTGTTCAAACAAATCCTTTCTCTCTTATTCTTTTTATTCCCCATTGGCTATGCGTTTATTTTGGAAAATTATTACTTGGAAAAGGTTTATTGCCTATCAGGCAATGCCATTTATACTATTTTAATTTATTATGCCAATCAATTGTAAACAATGGGTTATTATCCACAAACACATTTTGAATTTTCTTCTTCTTTTTTTTTTTCAAAAATAAAAATATCATTAAAGAGGAACTATCAAAGTTATTATTTCCACCATTTTGTTTTTTCAATCATCAAAACACTTTTCTATCAATGCTTGTTACTGTATAATAATTAAATACGCTTATATTAAATATTTAAATATTTATCATAATTGTTTTTTATTCTTTAATTTTTGTTTTCATAAGCATTTAAATTTTGAGTATTTTATGTATTTGATACAAAACTAACAAATATTAACGAACTGATATTTTGATAATTTTCAAAAATAAATAAGAGAATAACAAATTTGATGATGCATTTAGCAATAATTTAAATAATAAGAAAAAACTTTAAAAATATATTTGAGTTAATATTTTGATGAAATCCGTCATCATATTCCACATTAAAATCACGATTAACAACTTATGATTTTTTTTAAAAAAATTCTTGTTATGTATCATTTTGTAAGTAAAGATGCATAAGCCCATCCGATTAAAATGTGAAATAATAACTATTTTAGGAGTAACTAATGACATGTATAATAGTTATTCCATGTATCCACTTAAAAGAGAGAGATAGACATATAAAATTATATTCCGACATATCAAAAGCAATAAGAAAATTTTTATGTTCATTCATTTTTTTTTAATTTTCTCTCTTATTTCTCTATCTCTCGTTTTTTTTATCTATCTCTTTTCTCCAAATGGGTTTATAGAGTAATTACTCGTACATGTCACTAATTACTTCAATAATTATTCCTTGAGTATTATAAAATTTCTCGGTGATATAAATATGATACATTCATTAGAATACAAAATTGGTTTTTTTCCACTATTAGGTTATGTAATTGTCGATTTCTAAATGGACCATCCTAATTGCACAAAAAACACGAGGTTAAATTAAAACAATTTCAATAGTTTTAAAGTTCGACATTAACAATGAATTTAAATTATATAATCAATAGCTTAATTTATTTTTATATAATATTTTGAGTTACTAATTATTCGTACATTTTTAATTATATTTATTATATTTTTAAATAATGTTTAGGTTTTTATTCTATTTTTTGATCAAATTTTCAACCATAAACAAATTTTTTTTAAACTAAAATCCCCTTAAAATACAAAAATAATTCAAAAATAAAACACATAAATCAAGCCATTTTATTTTATTTATTTATTATTAATACTATTTTGCATTTCAATTACGGATATTTCAATTAAAAAGTTTATTTAAAGAATAAATCGATAAAAAAAAAAACAGAGACATAAATATTACTTGCATGTTTTGACTTTGTGAAAATTGACGGATGAGAGATAAGAGAATGAATGAAGAAATTATCATTGATGATTTAAAAAAAAATCATACTTTATATTCTTGTATCACTCCTCGTATATACACATTGTCACTACATTTTATAACAAAAGAAAATTCTATAACTAACATCTAATGGATGTTTCTTTGTGTGCCAATCATTGGTGTTTCGGGTTTGCGAGTAAAGAGAATTTCCCGGCTCTTTAGATCGAGTCGACAAGTGGTCGAGGCTTGGTTGCTCGACTTCAGTGTTGCGGGCATGACGAAGCATTGTAACAAACACCCAGTGGGCAAGGTTGAGTTACAACCGATTCTTTTTCTAATTATTCCCGTGAGGTTACCATGCATATTCTCTAAGTATATACCATCATCCATACTCGCATTTATATGTTTTAACACTCCCCTCAAGTTTGAGGTTAGTAAAGATGTTTCTAGTCCCAAACTTGCTTAGAAAATGCTTGTGTTGTCTACTGGCTAGTCCCTTTATGAGTAAGTTGTTCTTCGGTAGAGACATGTTGTGTGACTATTACACATTTGTTTAGTCGCGCCCTTACTAAATGACGAGTCTTGGTCTATATGTTTTGTTCTTTCATGAAAAACTCGGATTACTAGCTATGAATAAGGCTAATTTGTTGTCACAAAAGAGTGTTCGTTGGCTTCATGTTCTCTTCCTCTAGATCCGTAAACAATCTAATTATCCATATGACCTCACATATTGTATTTTCCATTGCCTTATATTCTGATTCAGCTAATAATCTAGAAATGATACTTTATTTTTTACTCTTACGTGATATTGTAGAATCCCCCAATTTGATAAGGAATCATGAGACCGATTTCCTTGTAATGCAACATGATCTCCAATCTGAATCACGAGTACATTTCTAGCTTCAATTGACTTGTAGAGGACATTAGTAACCCCACACTCGGATCTCCTTTTAGGTACCTTAGAACTACGGGAGCTATTGCCAAATGTGATCGCTTTGGCCTATGCATAAACCGACTTAAGAGTTGAACACCGTAAGAGATGTTTGGCTCGGTGATTGTCACATAGATAAGCTTTCCTATGAGCCTTTGGTAGCTCATAAGGTCCGATATGTCTTGGTCTTTCATATTCTTCTTAGTTCCTTCATCAAAATCGTTATAGTGAGCTTCAAATGCTACTCTATAGGTGTGTCTAGGGGTCTTGTATTTGTCATTCTAGTTTCTTCGAGTAGCTCTAGAATGTATTGTCTTCGTGTCAAACAAATTCGTTCCTTAGGCCTCGCTATCTCTATCCCTAAGAACTACCTTAGGTCACCAAGATCTTTTATGTGAAATTTCTTATGCAAGAAACTCTTTAAGGCTACTATTTCTTCTTCATCATTTCCTGTGATGATTATGACATCTACATAAACAAGTAAGATGACTATTTTCTCACCATTCTTCTTCACAAAGAGTGAATAATCATTCAAGGTCCGATTGAATCTAGCTTGTAGCATAGCTTCACAAAACTTTGTGTTTCATTGTATGCTTGCCTATTTTAACCCATATAGTGATTTCAACAACTTGCACACTTTCTACTCCCCTCAATCTCAAACCCCTATGAAATTATCATGTAAACTTCTTCATTCAAGTCTTCTTATAGAAATACATTGGTTACATCCATTTGCATTAGTTTTTATCCTTTCACAGCAGTTAAAGCCACAACAAACCTCATTTTCACCATTTTTGTAATCGGTAAAAAGGTCTCATTGTAGTCAATTCCTTCTTTTTGAATGTATCCTTTAGTAATTAGCCTTGCTTTGTACCTCTTAATGCTTCCATTTGAATTATACTTCACCTTATAAACCCATTTGCACCCTATTAGTTTCTTTCCCTTTGGCAATGTCACGAGAACCTAAGTCTCATTTAAGCATCGGTGTCTTCATTTCTTTCTTCATAGCTTCAATCCATCTAGGTTCCAAATTTACCTCATAATAGCTGATGGGTTCCGTAACATTGGTTAGGGTTGAAATAAATGTTTTGTAGGATGGTGTTGAGTGTTCATAAGTGATGTAATTTGTGATAGGTAGCTGATTATCTGTTTAATGTTGATCGAACTCGCTTTCGAGGATTATAGGACATTTATAGTCACTTGATTAGATTGGTGGTTGGATTATCCTAGTTGATCTTTTCGGGTTTA